TTACTTGGAAGGGGAAAACTTGTAGTTTGGATTTGAAATATATCTTTTATGACACCAGTCCTGAAACTTTTCTGACACTCCTGGTATATTTTATCAGCTGCAGTCTTCTGCTGTATTTGATAGGATTAAAATGCATCAAAATATTCAAATTAGATGCAAAAGAGATCTTAACTCCAGGCAAACTGCACAAGGTCCGTTTTCTTGACAAGCTGTGTTCAAGGTTTTTCATGATGAGGGAAGACAGCAAATCGGGTTCATAGCTGTGTAATGGTGGCTTGAGGCTGTAGCATTGTCTGAAGGTTTTACTAGCTCTAACTTCCACATCTTCAGCTTCCTCTCTAAATGTGTGTTCTTGTCCTAAAGCAACAAGAATCAAAGTCTAACCCGTAAGAGGCGAACCTCTGTGACCTTGAAGAGACGGATATTCGCGCTTAACAGAGTCGATGCCAACTTAGGAAAAATACTTGACCGCAGCACATCAGAACAATTTGTAAAAGCACAACAAGCTGCAACTCCAGTATTGTCTTTACCATCTTTGTATCGTCCAATCCAGACCGGAAAGTCCCTCTCCTCATTGACAGCCGAGCCAGAGGTGGAGTAGGTGACACGCGCCAGATCATTGTACTCTGTCTGGCAGTACTGCTGACCTTCAGACCATGTCTTTGACTGAGGTATAAACGTGTACTCATAATCGTCCTTTTTCTTCTTCTTCTGACATATAATGAAGTTATATATGCCACAGTCTGAAGTAGAAATCCTTTCAAGAGGAAAATAAATAATGAAGGAATTATTTGAGGCATAAATTATTATTATTTTAATCTTATTAGGTAAAAAAATATTCTAAAGTCTTTACAGCTCTCTTATATAATGCAACCCACTGGCCACTTGGACAATTGATTAACATTACAGAATATCACAGCATGCTTAGGAAACATATTCAGCAGTTACATGGACTTGAATTTAAATGTACTTTGCATGAAAAATCTGTTTAAAACAGCTCAAACAGTTTTACGTTACTTTTTGTCGTTGGAAGAGACAATAGCACAATCCCCGCTGTGATGTGGCTGATGATGGTCCCAGTTTGTGTGATAGCGGCAGTAGGTTTCTTCATCAGACCAGTACCAGTTATCTACCGAAACTGGTTTTCTGTACAGACCGATCCAAGCATTATAGGAATCCATGTCTAACCGGTCTCTATCTGAGTTAGTGTAGATGGTGGCCAAGTCAGTCCGGTGACTGTTGGGACAAAAACAGTTTCATTTGGTCAGTGATTGGTCAGAAAACAAATGACTGGAAAAAAAAAAGAAAAAAAAAAAAGCAACACCAGCATTGGAGTTTTTACCGCCTGCAGTAGTTTTGGGCTTCTTTCCAGGTGTAAAGTGTTCTGCTGTGCCAGTAGTTTCTCGACACCACAGATCCCAGGCCAGCCACAGTGCTGCTGAGGACCAAGAGGAGAAAGGGTCCAGAGAGGATCCTCTTCAAAATCCTGTTGAACAAAGAGAACCGTATCGAACCATGCTGTGAGAATAAACAACATTTACTCTTTTTTTTTCTTAACTATGCAGCAGATGGTCTAACAAGATTGGATCAAATGGGTTGCTGATTGCAAGTAAACCAAAAACGACCTAAGTTACCTGTTCAGATGCATCATTTTGTCTCCTTGCTGTGAAATGATCAGAGAGCATCGACGGAGACGCCGACATCCAATCTGTCATCTCACTTCCGAGAGTCTCGCATATTTGACCTTGAAATCATTTGACTTGCAGATACACTAAAGTCAACTGTCAGCGGCCTGTCGCCCCGTCTCCATTTGACTGTTGGCAAATGAAGGAAAGATTTACATGCAGACATGACAAAAAAAAAAACAAAGATTTGATTCGCCAAGTGACACCGAGAACCAGGAAAGAAGAACTACTGTTTAGTTTGTCGCTCAGAGTTGCATCTTAAACATTGAACAATTACACATAATACAGTGGTGATTACAAAAGTGACTGAAAATAGCACTACAGTAAAAAAAATAGCTCGAATTACCCCCTGTATTTGCAGTGAAGTGACATAAAAACAGTGCCTATAAAAAAGTTTTCCCCATTCATTCATTCATTCATTCATTCATTCATTCATTCATTGTCTTTCTTGTCAAAGTGAAAACAAATTTCTATAATCTAATGTTTATTAATTATAATTATAAAACATAAAAATAAAGGATTACCTGAGTATTCACCCCCCACATTGTGTAGTATTTAGTAGATGCACCTTTGGCTGCTTACAGCGTAGATCCTGTGTGGACAATCAGCCTGAACATCTGGACACTGAAACCTTTCTCATTCTTCTTCTTCAAAAAAAATGCTCAAACTCCATCCCGTTCCACAGGAATCATGAGCAAACAGCCTTTTTATCAGATTCTCAGATTGAGGTCTTTTCTCTGCTTTCACAGGTTTTGATTGGGACATCAGTTCTACAGGTTGTTCCACCTTTCATAGACACATGTCAGGAACTATTGCTGCCCAGTTTTCACAGTTTTTGTTGTTGATTATTTGTTTAACAGAAAACATTTTGAAGAGATTTTTCATTTGGCAGCTTTAGTTGGTCCATCCCCACATCTTTTCCATTTCAACAGCCAATATTAGTTTATTTTAACCGTATCAACCCATATCATTGGGCTTGTTGTTGGGGACATGATGATGGTCTATTAAAGGTTTAAATCTGATATTTTAAACCTCATCATTGTTCCTCAACCGGACCGTTTTTGAGCCAAAGCTTGAGCACCTTTACCCATAATGCTGTCACATCACAAAACAGATTTAGTGTGACCTGTAATAACCCACTGATTTGATTTACACCAGGAAACACTTGCTGCCGTTATTCTCCAGCGCACAGATAAAAGATGGATTTTGTGCTTTATTTTGGATGATGAACACATTAAACCAGACGATCTTCAGCGTACACACAAAAGGTATTTATTTAGAGATGTTATTTAACTCATACAATCATCATTATTGTTGATATTTTTTCACCTAATTGCCCTTTTTTTTTTTGTAATAAGTAAATCAAAATTCCACTCAGGGACCAAAAATTAAACCATATACTTCCATAAATGATGTACAGCAAAACAGAAAAGGGAAGATTTCTGCATATTAACTTTTATTATGCATCGATTTGAACTCTGATACCTGCGATCATGTTGCAAGTAAAGTCTGAATTATATCTGAAACAGAAAGAAAGCAGTTATCAGGAATCAATATCATGCAAAACAAATCAGTACCACTATCAGGACTCATTTCAAAAGATGATTGAGTTCAGTTCTGAGACTTGTTTTTGCTGCACTCGAATCATCAAATATGCATTTTCCCAAATTTAAGGAAAAAAAAAAGAAAAGCACAGTGCAACAAAGATTTCCCTTAAAGTTACAGTAAAATACTGGCAGCTGTTTGTTGCATTTTTTATAATTGTAATTTACTTTAACAGATAATTATTGTTTAATTACTTATTACTTACAATTCTCTGCAGCAGAACGTAAAGTGTATTGTTTAATATTGTAACTAGGTGCCAGGATGGCAAATTGTAGTGAATAAATGCATTTTAGATACTAAGAAGAAATAATTTAACTTAATGTAAATAATAAAAATAAATAAATAAATAAATAAATAAATAAATAAATAAAAAAGTAAAAATGAAACTGGCCTATCTCAGTAGTAAAGTTAGCAGCAGTAGAAGTCTGGTGTCTGTTACACTGTCAGTTTTAGTCTGCTGTTAACACTCATTCTTGTTTTTGGCTTAAA